TGTACGCCATCCCCGAACCCATCATCTAAATCTGCACCCGCACAGAATATCCGCCCATTTCCTGTTACGACGATGCATTTTACGCGGTCGTCTACGTCGAACATGCCGTACGCAGATTCGATTTCTGCGCGCATGACGTCGGTAAAGGCATTGTGGTTGGCTGGTCTGTGGAGTGTAAGGATGATGATTGAGGGCTCTTTTTCGTGGTGGCGCGTGGTGATTTGGGTGAAGGGGAGGGTGTTGTAGGAGGTTGGGAGCGTGATGTCCGGGGTGTGACGGGCAGATTGTTTGGGTGCCATTATCTACTGAGGTAATTTATGGTCGTAAGTTGTATTTTTGAATGTAGAAGACGTTATTATAGGGCATGTTGTTTATACGCGTTTACCCCATGCTGTCTGGAGCGTGTAGCCATGCTTCTGGTAATCATGATGCGGGGAGACGAGGAACCGAGGTACGCGTTGGCGGTGTTCGACGTCGACGCGTGGGTTTCGGCGCGGCTTAGCTCACTTCATATGTCTAAGTTTCGCAGACGAGGAGAACGATTGGTGTGAACATGTTACGTCTGTGTGAGATACAATACGATTAGTCAAACATACTGTGGCGCGTATCTGGCGAGTGGAGGAGTAGCGAAAGACGTTTAGTAATGCTTGACAATTGCTCAAACATGATCATCATACACACGTGTCACCGTGAGATGATTACTGACGTTCAAAAATCAACTCCTGATGGCCAAAGCCAAAGAATGCTCTACTATTACATTATGGTATCATTTCTCCCAACCAGACACCTCAAGCAGTGACCTCACCCTCTGCGAATGCTCTCCCAATTTCTCTCGCAACCCCCAACCTAAGCACCGCAATGATATCTTCACTCTTAGCACCCTTGGGAAAGCCTTTTCGCCAATCCCAGCCACGCTTGGTATCGTCTACATGTCCGCCCTTGACAAATATCGTTGAGCCCTCTGTACTCTGACCATCTGCAGAGCCGAAATCGGTCGAACCAATGAGCGAATATTGGCTTGACGCCGTCGTCAGATTGGATGTAGATTTCGATAGGAGCTGGTGCGGGTTGGGCAGTTGTTGTGACGAGTTGACGTCATGCGCGGAGAAGAGTGTGGTTGTGAGTACTTCTTCGCATTGTGTTCGGATCATACTTGGTGCGGTATCAAGATCCTCGATGGCGGCGAGGAGGTCGTATAAGTGACGGAGAGTCAATGTGCGCTTGGATTGGTTGACGAAGACAAGTGCCTCGCCCAGCAACGGTAGTAAGACATCGACTTGAACCACAGTTTCTATCTCTGGATCATACAGCCCACCACGAATGCTAGACGCCGCACTGGCGATGATGACCATGAGTGCATTAGCTGCAGCTCGTTTTCGTGCCATGGGCCGGTGTGCTGGCTTCTCTCCGGCCTTTAGCAGCACACCTTCATCTCGCAGATCGTAGTATTTGCGTATGGTCGCATAACCGCTGAGGTGATTCGAGAGGAGGGAGGCGGCTTCTGAGTCTAGGCTTGCGAGTTTTGTTAGGGTCTGCTTTGGTGAGGTGATGAGCGAGCTGAGTGACTCGTCTAATTCGTTTAGAGGCGGATAGGCAATTGATTTGATCAGGCAATGGGCGACCAAGACACGTAGCACTTCTTGAATCTTTTGTGCGTCGTGGGCGCGTGCATAGTAAAGAAGTGTATCACCATAACTCTCGGTATTCGTGCGAAGATGGTCGGCATATTTCTGTAACAGTCAGTCTGGATCCAACAAGATGTTGTGATACGACTTACCTGGGCGATAGTGACAGCATGCTGCGAGAGGCCCAGATTGTGGCAAAGCTGAGTGATCTTGTCAACGCGGGCCGAGGAGTCCAATGGTAAGTCGTTTAATATCCGCTCAATGCGTTCGTTCGCCGTAATGACGTCGTCCAGTCTGCCGAGAATTTGTACAGCAATCTCCCATCCTTCTTTACCCGGTAGTTCATGATCAAAAGTGAAGGGTACATCGACGGCAGTCAAGAGTTGTGAGTAGGAAACAAGCAAGTCGTCCTTTGTCAGACCTTTTGGCTTCTGCTGTTCGTTGTAACTCAGGACCATCAGATCACTCTGGTCAAACTGATCCAATAGGCCCTTCGCGCTTGTGAACCACTCTCCTGCACTGGCGAGCTCCGCAGTTGCACAGGCCATGGGAAGCGACAGCACCTGGAGGATTTCTAGAGCACCCTCGATGTTGTCGTCGAATGCACATGCCAAGCCTACTTCAAAGCGGTCTAGAGCATTGATACCAAAGTCGTCGTCACTGTTGTGAACGACTGCCGCCAGCGCAGAGGACAACCGTTGGCAATACGCTTTAACTGGAGTCACGTCGACAGGGCGAACTCGTTGTGACCGCATAATGGAGCGACGGCTTGCCGCCAGGCTGCCTTGTGCAGAGTCGTCCTCTTCCCCATTCCACCAAACACCCAAACCCACAACTGCTTCGATCCAATCAGCTGATAGGGTAAGGATCTCTTCTTCGTTGCCCAGTAAGAGCCGATAAACGATTCCCAGGTTTTCGTACACTGACCACGGTACTTTGCTCTCGGCTTTGCGACTCGCTACGCTAAGCTGGAAACTTGCCTGTGATTGCGAGATGCCAAAGTGTGCCGCCTGGAAAGGTTGATAGACGGAATGACGGTTTGCACTTTCGCCCTCGGCAAAGTCCTCTAAGCTGGCATATACCTGCTGTACTCGCTGCCGGAAGATACTCCAGTCATGTCCCTTGATGTCCCAGTCCTCGGATGCAATAGCCGGACATTCACGCAGAAGATCAACTGCTTGACGTACCGCGTGGTTCGCGTATTGGAGGTGTGTGCCGCTATATCCTGTGGTACCTAGACCGTCGCGTTCGGCTGTCTCAGCGTTTTCGAGTCGAGCACCCTGCAGGAACTTCATAGTCTGCGAGAAGTTGCCGCGAACAATGGAAACATGAATCGCCTCCCAGAAAGAAGGATGCCTCGAATAACCGTTTGTTTCCTTGCCTACTTGTCCAACCTCGGAATCACCATCGAGGGGGAATGCATAACTCAGCCAGTCGAGCAGTACCCTTGGAATGGGTGTGTATTGCCTCGAATCAGTTCGCGCAGGCACAAGTGAAAGGGCAGAGGCCCGCTGGGTCAGGCCGATCTGTGGGGGGTGGTGTAGGGTGAGCAGAAGACTGGCAAGTTTAGTACCCTCACGTTTTACCCAAGATGTTCTATTGTCAGACATAGCAGGTGGTCTAGAAGGCGGCTTCGTATTCTCTTTCCAGACTGCAACCAAGTCCTGAGCGACGGTGCCGAGCACTTGGGTGCGCTGGTCTGGCGAGTCTGAGTGAAGAGACTCGTGGACCTTCTCAGCCAGGCGCTCCGTCTCCAGTATGAGGTCACCACCCTCGTCCAGGACCTTCTGTTTGCCAGTTGGCATCCAACGGCCTTGAGGAGCGTCGGATGTAAGGCCCCTGGCGAGCGCCAGAAGGTCGAATTTTGTCTGTTTTGCACCGGAGCGCACTAACACAAGGCCTGGCTCCATGTCGGTTGCGCTCGTTCTTGAGGCGACAGACTGGGAAAACCTGTTTTGTGTTTTGTTGTGGCGCTGTGGGGAGAGCGGCTCGTCCTCGTCGGTGCCCCCGTCGTGGTCCATGTCTTGGTCGTCTTCGTCCTCTTCCTCATCAGTGTACTCTTCGTCTGACTCGCCATGCGCATCGCGGTTGAGGGCGTTGGCGGGCGCTTGAAAGTGGCTGGAGGTGATTCGTCCTCGTTGTACTGGAGGCCGTCCAGACGTTGAAGTGCCTATCGAGCCGGCTCCAATGCCTTCGAAAAGGCCTTGCTTGGGCGGCGAGCTGTCAAAGAGCGAGTTTGTCGAGTAGCCATGGCTATTCGGGTTGAATGTCGGGCGTGTGTTGCCGAATAGTCCGTTGTTCATGCCGGGCGGCGGGCCGGCTGGTGTGGAGGAGGGATAGTGGGATTCGTCTGGAGGCGGCGGGCCGGCGGGGGTGGTCGAAGGTTGGCGGTCGTAGTCGTAGTAGTGATCGCGGCCGGGTGTGGAAGGTGGTCCACGAAACATTGCAGTCGTGCTGTCGCGACTTTACGTGGTGAGACAGGCTTGCCAGGAACCCAAAACAGTAATTTCTACACAAGGACGAGGGCCGTAGCACCAGCTTATTTCGCACGTCGAGCGTTCTGCCTCACACGCGCCCCAGTCGGTTATTGAGGGGTAAGAGTCTTGGGGCAGCTCTTTGTCCAGCTGTTGTCGCAGTCGCAAAGCATAAACTTTGGACGAGCTCATGGACGCGCCTAGTCGGGACATGGCTTGGCGCGTCGACCCCGGAGCTCGGCGAAACCCTTGTCCGGCCGTCGAGGTGAAGACGGGGCAAGCCCTGCACCTGGCACCTGCTTGCTTGTTTTTCCGGTAGATTGCAGACCCGCACGGCTATCTAGACTGCACGACACGTGCGCCTGATTCACGACGCATGGCCTAGTTTGATGCGCTTGTCTTGACTTTTGGTTTTTTCTGCTCGTTCCTGGTGGCGCTATGGAAGCGCATCCTCATGACGAATCAGGCGACGTGCTCCCTCCGTGATGGGCGTGTCCAGCACCCGTGTTCAACCCCGCTACGTCCTGTTTTTGGTAAATCAATATCACATCACCGTCACTAACTCTTCTATCGAGTCGTGATGGGCAGGGGTCAAACCACTTGGTCATGTCCAGGGTTATTATTAAGGTACCCGATGCTAGACTGCGCCGTCGCCAGCCTCCGCCAGCATTAGCCTACAGCTGACGTACAGTGGGACTCAAAAACGGTTGGAGCCCGCTGGCCTACCAGACTGCCTTTCCCGCTGCTTCCGTCTGCTGACCCTACTCTTTGCCTTTTCTTCGTACGAGTTGTCCTACTTGAATGCCCTACATCTCTAATGTGTAATGCTACGGCACCGCACTCATAGCACTCTGGTCCACCTCTGACGTAGTGCTTCTGCACACACCGACAGCCCGAAAACATGGCCCTGTGGTCAACAGCCAAGACACAATCAAAGCAAGGCTTCGACAAAGTCTACAACTGGGTTGACAAGCTCGGTGCGCCTGTCAATCGCCTGTCCAACAAGGTCGGCTCCGAAGCCTTCTGGCCTACAACACTCGACATCGAGTCGGACAAGGCTGCGAGGATCCTCAAAAGCTTCTGCAGTATGTCGATTCCCGATACCCACCGCCAACCGCTAACACAGTCACAGAGGATGGATTCTACCAAGAAGAAGACCGGCCCGTTACCACCGATGTCCCCAAGGGCAAGCAACGAGTCCTCAAGAAGATACCCTCCAAGGTAATCAAGAATGCCAAAGGTCTCTGCATCTTCACAACCATGCGCACCGGCCTCTGGGTCTCCGGATCAGGCGGAGCTGGCGTATTGGTTGCGCGCAAGGCAGACGGAACGTGGTCACCACCCTCTGGCATTATGATGCACACGGTTGGCGTAGGCTTCCTTGTCGGCGTGGACATCTACGACTGTGTTATCGTTATCAACTCCGACAAGGCAATGGAGGCTTTTCAGTCCATCCGCTGTACTCTGGGAGGAGAAATCAGCGCAGTTGCAGGCCCAGCCGGTGTCGGTGGCATACTCGACACGGAGCTCCACAAGCGTCAATCACCACTTTTCACATATATCAAATCGCGGGGCTTCTATGCTGGTCTCCAGCTAGACGGAACCATCATAATCGAGCGAACGGACGAGAACGAGCGCTTCTACGGCGAACGCATAGGAGTCAAGGACATATTGGCTGGAAACGTACGGCATCCACCTTATGAGATAAGGAGGCTCATGGAAACACTCAAGTCAGCTCAGGGCGACACCGACGTGGATGAGTCTCTGATACCAGACGAGGCGACACCAGGAGACTTTGAGGTTACAGGCCCCGAAGACAAGACTTTTGGTATCCCAGACGCTGTCGATCCCGATCCCTACGGCGTCCTGGCACTACAAGAAGCCGGTCTAGAAATCAGGGAGGCAGGCACACACAGTCGGCCGACAAGCGAGCAGTTTGAATTCAAGCCGAGCCCAACAAGTCCGATTTACAACACTTTCAGGAACTCCACATTCCGGAGAAGCATGGATCGGTCAAGCTTTGCCGGCAGTCGACGATCAAGTTGGCGAACAAGCACCATCAGTGGCGTGCTCGAGCCCCGGACACCAACGGCCGATATGAGCACACAGACTGACGATCTACCGCCACCCCCGCCGACCGTCAGGAAGACGCCCCCTACACTACCGCCACGAACAAGTATCGCACGTCTACCCACGCCTCCCATAGCAGAAGTACCCGAAACTAGAGCCGAGCAAGCCACTCCGCCACGAGCCAAGAGTGTCGAGAGGCAGATTGAAGAAGCAACACCCACAGCTGCAACGAAGACTGATAGCGCAGTTGACTCAAAGTCGACCGGCTCTCCTCGCAACTCAACAGCTACTGAAGTGGTTGAGGATGACGACAGCAGTGACGATGAGGACGACGAGTTTGAGGATGAGCCAGTCGTTTATGAGGTTCACCAAGCGGCTGCTCCGCAAGCCATCCACGCACGCGTTGTTCAAGTTGCCAAACCAGTCGCTCCAGCCCTGCCCGTCAGGAACCCCTTCCGCAACCGTGTCTCAACAAACTCAGACGGGTCGCTGAGCACTACCCAGGGTGCATCCCCTGTAGCCTCTCCGACCAAACCCAAGCATAGCCCGGAATCCACCCCCTCGCTTATGCGCGGTGACTCGACCTCTTCTTTGTCTTCTGTAGAGGACAACAGACTGGAGCAGATCGGCAACAGACTCAAGCCAAAGTACTCGCATGAGCCTTCGCCTGATGACGAGAAGAAGGATGATGCTTACCACTCACTTCCGGAGTCTCCGATGAAGAGCATTCCAGGCGGTTTCAACTGAGCGACCAGACTGGCTATGATGGAACTCTTGCACTTCTCTTCACACCGCTCTTTACTGCGACAATAATCGACTGGGATCATAGCATCATCCCTGACTACAACACTCTAGACTACGCGTACAAGATGGCGTTGCGATGTCAAGCGCATGGTTGCTGCGTCTCACCACTTGCTTATTCGACTTGGCTAAAACGCAAGCATACTCGGTCGATCAGTACATTTTCATTGGAGATGAACTTTCACCGTCGTTACGACTTATGATTCCCATTGATATCCACATTATTGCTTTATTTGCCTCGCTCGCGCATGGTCCTTCAGCATTTTTATGTATTTAGTGCTATATTCGTTGAGCGATGCATTAGCCCATATAGCGACAGCGACCGTAGATCAATATCACCTCATAATCTAAAGAGAGTACGTTTCTGAATGTTTGCCTGTGTCACACAACGGTGCATGGCTACTCTCTGGGCGGCTTGCGACGCTAACGCGGCCGTGACATCCCTGCCAAAATTTCGTGACCGGGATTCCACCACGAGCTCAACTTGCGCGGGCACATGCGAAAACTTCCACACCAACGATTCTATGTCGGATTCCCGCAATAGTGCTCCCTAAGATATCGCGCTCAGACCTAGACTTGTGTAGAGTATCAGATCGTGTCCACTCGGAGAAGCACCAAGCGAGACTTGCTCAAGCACACAGCGCTGTCCGTCGCAATCAACCCACGAGCCAAAGCCATCATGGCATCCTCAGCGTCCCCCGCGCCCAAGAAGTCCAAAGCTCCACCCAAAACAATCGCAGACTTCACCGTCCTCCCTCTCACACTACCCACCCTCTCCGGCCTACCAGCTGCCTCAAACTCCGCAAAACACTATGTGTACATCAAACCACATTCACCCAGCCTCCCCACCGCAGACGATGAGCGCAGCCTCTTCATCGCAAACATACCCATAGATGCCGACGAGCGCAGCATACGCGCGCTGTTCCAAGGACAATTAGGCGGCAGCATGGTCGAACGCGTGGAATTCGACGCGAGTGTTCCTGCGCAACCAATGCATAAGCGGTGGAGGAATACAGAGAAATCTGCAAATGCGAACGAAGACGATGTTGCTGGAGGTGACAAGAGGGGGAAGAAGAGAAAGAGGATGGACGACGCGGCTGTGATTGCGGAGGGTGTTGTGGAAGATGCCGAGAGTGCACTACCGCGGTTGTGGAATACTGAGGTGAGGAAGAGTGGGAGTGGCGCCGTCGTTGTTTTTGTGGACAAGAAGAGTGCGAGGGGAGCGCTCAAGGAGGTGGCAAGAGCTGTTAAGGAGGGCAAGAGTATCGCGTGGAAAGGAGGTGAAGGGTTGGGCGTCGAGCGTAAGTTTTGTTATATATCTTTACTCGGCATGCTAGGTTTGCATGAATGCCATGCTAACTTCACAATCAATAGGCTACAAATCACACAACACACTCCTCTACCCCACCCCTTCCGTACTACAAGCCTCCCTCAACGCATACCTCACACAGTTCAACGCCCTAGAAACATCCAGGAATCGCCTCCGCAAAACATCCCGCTCTGTTCCTGACGAAGATGGCTTCATGACGGTTACGCGAGGCGGACGTGTCGGGCCTGCGAGGATCGAAGAGGCAGAGAAGAAGAAAGCAGAGTTGGATGAGAGGAAGAGGAATCACAGGGCCACCGATGACTTCTATCGCTTCCAGAATCGGGAGCGCAGGAAGGAAGCTGAGGGTGCATTGAAGAGGAAGTTTGAGGAGGACAGGAGGAGAGTGGAGAGCATGAGGGAGAGGAGGGGGAGGGTCAGGCCAGAGGCTTGAGAGGTCAAGGTTGTTGTGGAAGGTTACTACAGTAGCATGCACGAGTAGCACTTTCAGACAGTTGTATTACTGCTTCAGGCGCTCGGCATGAAGACTCACTTGGTATGGCGTATAAGACAAGATAGTCGAATCCAACATGTTGATTCTTGATTATGAAATAGCAATCGTAAAGTTCGATGTAAACCGAAAGAAATACTCCTAAAGCGCCCTGGGAAAAGACAAAGGTTCTTCGACTCAATAACCGAGTAAGAAAAGCGACTTCTTACCACGAAGCGCACCAACTAGTCCGTCCCATTCCCATCTGCATTTGCGTCACTCCCATACCTCTCGATGAGATCTCCTTCCACCCCTTCATCGTTACCATTGCCGCCGCCTGGGTTCCGTCCAGGAAGTGTCTTTGACTGGAAACAAGCTTTGTTGAGTCTACGACTTCCACTCCTCCGACAGGGAGGATAAAAGTCGCCTTTCAGATCGGACATTTGGGTCGAGTTGACTTTCAACGTAGCTTGTACGGCTTCTGTCCCTTGTCCGAAATCATCACCTTGTTTCCTCAGCCATTGGCTGTGACGTAAACAATTCGCCGACGGAAGTGTGCGTTGCGATTCCGTTGTACTCTCAAAAGACCTGGCGCAAGCAGCGTCGGAAGTGTGGGCTTCCCGAATATCTAGGTAATCTTTGTTGTAGCATATCTTTCCTGGCGTCGTGATGGATATGGAGACGGGGTCAATGTTCAGCATGAGCTGGGCATCGTTACGACATTTGCTCTTGTCGTTCTTAGCAGTGGCCATCAGGCCAGGCTGCATGTCTTTGCTAGGTTCAGTATGAATCTTCTCCCAGACGAGTGCTGAGAGACCGCGAGGGAAAGTTTCGGATGCCTTGAGGGTGTTGCACTCCCAGTACAACTGTTCGCCCAAATGAAGGAAGCGTCGACTGAGGAGGCGGTCTTGTAGCGCCCACGCACGTGTATCCCAACCAAAGTTTGGCGCATTCAGGATGCCAGCTGGTAGCAGAGCAGAAGCAGGTAGTCGACCTGACGTCGGACTCTGGCTTGTACTTGACCCGAGTAAGGACGCAAGATGGGTCTTGTCGCTCGTGCCTTCGACAACAGCTTCATCATTGAAGTTGTGGTCCGGGTCTTCTGAATGGTCAAGTACGACTGTCAGTGTCGCATTGCGGAAGGTAGATGCCATGCTTATGCATTCGCGTTCCTTGTCTTCTTCCGAGTCTTGTACGACACAGAGTGAATCTAGCCAACAATACTTATAGCCCAAGTCATGCGCTGCCGCGATTGCCTTCGCGATCGCAATCGGAAGTGTTTGTAGTGGCAATTCGGTCTGCATGCTCGATAGTGTATCGCTCGAGAGTAGTGGCTGTATGTGACTCCAGACGTGACTCAATGCCACGTACTCTATGTTGTCGGCAGTGGATTCGATATTGTCAGTCTGAACAACCTTCGCGCGGACTGTGCCATCTTGGCCATTCGAAAGGATCTCGATCAGACGTGTGGGTAGGGAGCTAGCACCGCGTGTGACTATGTGGCGACAAGCATCGTGCGTGCATGAACACTCACTTAGCCAAGTCTTTGCATTCGCAAGGCTGGCTTTTGATTCTGTGGCGTTCGTTCCGTGGAGGTGAGGATAATCGTAGGCATCGATATCGCCGTGGTGATTAAGCATGTCTACTCCATCAAGCTCTTCTTGTGGGCCGGGGAACGTCGCCTTGTCGTTGGGCCAGTTGAGACAGCATGGTGCCGGAGTGAAGATCATAGTCAACGCTCCTGCATCTGGTCGTGCACTTGGGTCAGCATTCAGCATGCTCTGAAGCGTGCAAATCACTGTATGCTCTGTCGTGGTCTTTGCCTCGGCAAGGAACCCAGCGAGCTGATCTTGTATACCGGATACATCCTGCCAATAGTGCTTGCCAGTACGACCACTAAAAGCCTTGCGGAAGGCTGACCATCCCATGTTGTCTTGACTAAACGGAACGGATGCCATCTCCGCGAAGACACAACCAAGACTCCAGATATCAGCAGCCTTCTTGCGAGAAATGCCCGAGGATACCTCAGGTGCGATGTATTGGCGTGTTAGCGGCTTGTATTGGTCATCACTCATCTCTTCTGAGGAGCTGACACCGAAGTCGCTGAGTATTACGTGAGGGAACTCTTGGTCACCTTCGACGATCAAGATGTTCTGAGGCTTGATGTCCATGTGCCTGACTTGCTGCTCGTGAAGATGTCTTACTGACGATGCGAGACAGCCAAACATTCTGACAATAGTCTCTGGAAGATTGGCAGGCTTTTGCGCCGCTGATCGCTCGAGCCATACTGCAAGTGTTGTATCGGCAACGGGTGAGAGCAACATGGACATCTTGTCGCCCCGTGAGTAGGTCCCGATGATGCGAATGATATGAGGGTGGCGTAACTTCTGAAGAACGCTTACTTCCTTCTTGAGCTCCTCGATCACTGTCTGGTTACGATTCTTGAGTGTCTTGCGACTGACGTGTAATCCCGTTTGTTGATGCACGACTTCGTCGACTGTACTGAAGCCTCCTGAGCCAAGCAGCTTGACACTAAGGAAGGTCGCGTTCCTAGCTTGTATTGTTCCTCTGGAGTGTCCAACCGTCAAAATGTTCTGCGTGGATGTCGTTGTATACTTGTCCAGGGATTCGTCGTGTGTCGTGCGTTCTTGATCTCTGGTGGCAGCGAGGGACGTCGTGGATGACAGAGGAGGTCGTCCAACACCCGTTGCTCTCTGCAACAAGTTGTCTTGTATGGCGATCGTCGTACCCGTGTCGAGCGATATGTCAGGAGTCATGACTTCTCCATTTACTATATGGGCAGGAGATGCTGATGACGAACGCCCAGTACTAGCAGCTATATCGGCTCTAGAGTGCTTCCAGTGAGGATGCTCCAACAAAATACTGTCTGTTCTATCATCCATGGATGAGATCGGAAGCTCCTTCTTTATGGGTTGGGCGACATCATCTCCGGCCAGAGCGCTCTCGTCATCTTCCTCTGCTCTGATGCGGCCATCTCGCAGGGAGCCCGCAACAGTCGACACACTGCGCGAGCCCGACTTGTTCGATTCATGTAGTGAGGTCGATGACTGAGAGATGTTCGGCGAAAGTATAGTGGGTTTGATATGTTGGTCCGCACAATCCGACTGGCTCTCACCAAGTTGTGAGAGCTGGAATTGGAAGAATCCGCCGCAGGATGGTGGGCCGGTAGAACCGCTACCGCTGCCGCCGCTGCCAGAGTATTTGGAGTCACTACCACCACGTGGATCGAATGGTGGTTGAGGAGAAGGTTTGCCACCGAAGCCGTCATCGCTTGGGCCGTCGTCATTGTCATCGTCCGCAGAATCGTTGCTGTCGTTGTCTTCCTCATCCCGCCAGTCAAGCATGCACTTGCCCTGTTTGAAGTGATCGGCGATGTGATCTATACGTTCTTGTCTAGATTCGAATCGATGTCGGCAAAATCCGCATCTACGAGGGAATTCGGTTTCGGAGATCACTATACTGGCATCGTCGAAGTCTTCAGGGTTCATCTCGGGGTGGATGTTTCGGAAATGCTGGACAAAGTGGTACTTTCGATAACATGGCTTGACATTCTCGACCCCCTCAGTCGTACACAGGCTGCAAACCCAGGATTTACATGGATAGCCTTCCTCTTCATTGCGCTTCCAGTCGTTCTTGCGGCCATACCGTTTGCCGCACTTCCTGGTGCACTGGTAAATCTTCCTAGGATCCCTACCAAGCAACTCAAGGTCTTCGGTAGGGCAGCACCGCTTTTTGCTACCCCGCGTGGAGACTACTGGTACGGTTACGGTGGTATTATCACGAGTAGGCGACGAGCCAGGAGAAGACGTCTCCCCAAGCGCTGGCTGTGCAACGCTTCCGTAGACATTGTATGCTCCTGGAAGCTCTGTCTGGTATGTGTGGTCATCCCAGAAGGATTCATGCTGCTTCTGTTGTTGTTCTTGTTGGATGAGTGCTGTCTGGGACTTGTAGGCTGAATCACTCTGGCCGCTACCCATACCCTGCTTCAAAAGTTGACTGAACCAGCTTCGGATGGCATCTGCTGGCTCACCAGTGAGCTGGCTCAAAGAGTCGATATGTCTGTCACTTGGCAGTACATTGTACTTGTTGAACCATGTCGCGCAGACGTCAGCTGCCTCGTCTGGAAGCCCATCTGCTACCACGGAGGGGATAGGGTCCAGGCTCCAGCTGGACGTGGTTGTCGCAGGGGGTGTGGGGAACAAGGGGAAATCAAAGCTTGCGTGACGCTTCGACTGAGGGTAGTCGTGCACATCAAGCTGGAGCGGGCGCTTGCCAAGCGCATTGAACTGCGTTGGCATGGTATCAAAAGATTGTAGTGGTGTGGGTGGGAATGATTTCGCGATATGTTGGAGTTGCATATCAGGAGTGAGCTGCGTATTCCATGCTGGGGTCGCCGAGGTGTCATCCAAGGTCTGCCACACTATTAGCACGCATGCGATACGGCGAGCCCAACAAGAAGCTTACAAGACTATGTTGCATGTCAAATGTGCTCTGCGGAGGGGTATTATCGAATATGGTAGGATCAATGAAAGATGATGCGGTAGTATCGATACCCTCGTCAGCGAAGAAGAAGCCAGAAGTATTATCCGCTGGCGTAAACGTCTGTTGTTGCGGCGTCGCGAACATGTTGCTGAAGTCCATGTTCGTCGTGTCAAAGGCGAAACCTGCGCCCTGATGGTCCATGACTATGTTATTTGTCAGAGGGCGTTGTCGTTGGGTACGGCGTCTTGCTTTCGTCGTGGTAGACGGTTAGCAATCACAAGCTCCAAGAGATGAGCGAGTATGATGGAGAATGAGTGTCTAGGAGCCTGAGGCCTGTTGCTCGGTATTTTAGATCAAAGGGCGCTGCGCCCACGAGTTTCGCGATGGAGTTCGGAGTCATTCATGCAGCCCTTCAGCTTCAGGGAAGGGCGATGGAGATCCAAGGTTTAGGCAACCGGTGAGACGAATAGTGGGGAATTGCGGTAACTTTACGACCTCGCCAAGCCGGTCGTTCGAGATGCGACTGTGGAGAAACCTACGCTGCTTGCCAGAATATCAAGTCGGCCCCGTCGCTTCACCTCGCCTGATGAGCTATCTGGCCTTGGAAGGAGGTACTCTACTTTCGCGACGTTCGCTATCGTTGCGTAGGTCTCTTCCAATGTGGGTGAAAAGAAACGTCTTTCGGATGTTCGTAAGCGCTAATTTCCTGTATCGCCCTTTCCTCTCAGAAGGGCGCAGCCGCACGAAACAGGCTAGCGTCGGCAGTGCGGAGTGGGGTGTGTGGCTGAGCTGCAGCAAGCAAGTTACGGAGAACGCGAACTCCACCTCCATCCCCATATCTCCCATGGCTGAGTCAGTCTTAGCTTATATATTAACGACAGACTACTCATTAGCACCTTGAAGACTTTGTTTGTGTCGCATACCCAGGCAGATACCTGCTCTAGTGAGAATACCACGGATGAGTCTGCTTGATGCGGACCTCTGTATCAAACCTTGGAAAGAGCGATGAAGTGATCAGTATAGTAGCCAACTTACATTTTGCGTAGACCAGTCTCACACGGACAATTACGTCATTGTCTACATCATATAGACTGTCAATAGTAATCAGACTCATGTAGTACGTGGGAACGACATCGGCATGGCTGTCGGGAACACTCAAGAGGTTTGGGAGAATAACATGTTTAACTGGATCGAACATCCGCTCGAAGCAAACAATATGGACGAACCCACAAGACACGATGTATTTGCGTGATGGAGCAATCACCTATTTCTAGACATATAATATGCTTGTAGCATAGACAGATGTTTCTTTCGCTCTCTGCTACGTCAATATCTGGACAGTCCAGCCAGCCTCTAACTAACCTTCCATGGTCCAAAAACGAGAAGAGCTACTGGCAAATTTCAGGAAAAACCCGCGTCCCCTTGATTATCAAGATGATGAGGACTGGAAAATATGTGTCGCGCTTATAGATGAAAAAGCAGACCGCGAGAGACGAGAACGAGCAGATCGAGCGGCTGGTGACGATGGTGATGCTGAGGACGAAGATTCTGACGGGGACAAAGAAAATGCTGTCCCACTACCAATCCGTATGAACACAGAAGACAGACAAATGGAGAACGAAGAAGAAGAAGAAGAAGAAGAAGAAGAAGAAGAAGAAGAAGAAGAAGAAGAAGAAGAAGAAGAAGAAGAAGAAGAAGAAGAAGAAGAAGAAGAAGAAGAAGAAGAAGAAGAAGAAGAAGAAGAAGAAGAAGAAGAAGAAGAAGAAGGAGGAGGCACGAATGATCCGGCACCAGATACCACCGCAATTCCTGTAATTCCCAAAGTGCCCACAGCAACCACCAACACAAGCCAAACACTTATCGCCCCTTCCGGAGCACCCATCTACTTTTTCCACGGAAACATCAACATTCCCCTCATGTTAATCGACACAGATATTCAAGCTGCCGTTCAAAAACTGATCGAAATGTACATCACCCGTGGTCGACTAGCCAGCAATACCGTCGTCTGCATAAACCAGCGCTATGACGGTCAAGCCACGCATAATGCTGATGGTACAGAGTATGCCTGTAGGACTTGTATTGATAAGTATCGTGATGGTAAAAACTACAAGGGATACAGGGTTTGTATAAGACACGGGCAGAAGGTCGTGGGTGGACAGCTGGTAACTGCATATTTTGCTGTCGCACAAAAGCGATCGGAGAACCAGCGGTATGTTTGGCGTACTGAGTAGCACAAAGACAAACAAATGGGAAAGAAAACTGCCAAACGACAGTGGTGAAGGGGGCGACGTATTTCCTGCACGAGCTCTTATCTTCGCACCACCATCATCAATACTCGGGGCCGAGTGGAAAAAGTTGAATCGAGCATATATGAGTAAAAGCTATTCATGTGGTATCATTTCATATCTATCTACGTTGTCAGAAAGTAAAAAGGTATCTCATCATTACCGTTCTTCATCAAACCCGCGCGCTTAGAAAGCAACCATCTGACTAAGCCCAGCGCTCTCACGCTCAAAGTTCTTGTGCTGTGAGATGCTGTACAAGTACGCGCTTGTGAAGTCCTTGGCCTCCTTGGCCATGTTGACAGCCTCCTTGAAGCTATCGGCGTGAACCTGACCAGCAGTGACAACACCGTAGCTGTTGACGACATCAGCGGCGGTCGAGAACTCCATACCGGGGAGTTCGACGGCCTGCTTGATGAAGGAGACGGCCTCTCCGGTACCGCCAATAGCCTTCAAGTGACCGAAAGCCTCGCGGATCCAGTGAACGGCGCGACCGTTCTTGCGGAGAGTCTCGACTGACTTGGCACCACCTGGAACGAAAACACTGTCGTACATGGTGGAGCGCTGACCCTCAAGGTGGTGGTCTGCTACGACACCGGAGCCACTCTTGTCCTCACCATCGGCGTAGATCTTGTTTCTCCTGGGTGAAATGGTGAAGGGAAGGGCACCGGCAGCGGTGAGCGCAGCCTTGATGCCGTTGTAAGCGACCTTGTCGTAACCATCGGCAATAAGGATAGCAACCATGCGAGTAGCAATGGTAGGCTTCTCGGGCATAAAGTCCATCTGGGAGAGACCCTTGGCCTTCTTGTTGTGCTTGGCGCGAGTCTGCTCAGTTGGCACATCGCTGCCAACCATCTCCGCGACACTCTGAGCGAGCTCAAGATCGATCTCACAGAGACGCTCACAGAGACGCTTGTAGACGACAGGGTCGTCACAGTGGTCAAGCTCGAAGGCGAAAGCGTCCTTCATATGCATCTTCTCGTTCTCCGACATGGAGTTGTAGAAAAGCTCAGCCTGGTTCTTGTGCTCCCTGAACTTGCTGGTCTTCATGCGGGCCTTGATTCCGGCAGTCTTCTCAGGGTAATCGATGTAGGCGCCCTCCTTTTCAGTAGCAGGAGGAACAGTCTGGAAACGGTTAGGCCAGTAGTTGACCTTGCCCTTGGTGATAGTATGGCGCATGGCACCATCACGGTTGAAGTTCATGACGGGGCAGACAGGCTTGTTGATTGGTAGCTCTTCCCAGTTGATACCCAGACGTGAGAGTTGGGTGTCCTGGTAAGAGAAGTTGCGTCCTTGCAGAAGAGGGTCATTGCTGAAGCCGATACCAGGGACGATGTGGCTTGTGCAGAAGGCGACTTGCTCTGTTTGGGTGAAGAACTCGTCGGGGTTCTGGTTCAGCTCGAGCTCACCAATATACCGGATGGGAACAAGCTCCTCAGGCCAGACCTTGGTGGCATCCAATATGTCGAAATCGAAGTCGTGCTCCTTTGACTCTGGGAGGACTTGGATACCGAAGTTCCACTTTGGGTACGCGCCACTGTCGATAGCCATCCACAAGTCCTTGCGATGGAAGTCGGGGTCTTGGCCAGCAATCTTGAGAGCCTCGTCCCAGACGAAGCTGTGGACACCGAGTTGGGGGGTGAAGTGGAACTTGACAAAGCTCCTCTCGCCCTTGGCGTTGATGAGTGTGTAGGTGTTGACACCGAAACCTTGCATCATACGGTATGAGCGGGGGATGGTGCGGTCGGACATGGCCCACATGAACATGTGCGTAGCCTCTGGGTGCATGTACTGGAAGTCCCAGAAGTTGTTGTGAGCGGACTGTGCTTGCGGGACCTCGCAGTCAGGCTCCGGCTTTCCGGCGTGAATGACATCGGGCTGAATAAGTCAGTATCTCACAATGGGGGAATGAGGTTTGCACAAGGCCATTGCTTACGAATTTCATGGAGTCCTGGATGAAGAAGACGGGAATGTTGTTTCCAACAATGTCCCAGTTACCCTCTTCTGTGTAGAACTTGACGGCGAAACCGCGAACATCACGAACAGTGTCTGCAGATCCACGGCTACCAAGTACAGTTGAGAATCGTAGGAAGACGGGGGTCTCGCGCGATGTGTCGGTAAGAATGCCAGCCGATGTGACGTCTTCAGCGGACTCGAAGAGGGTAAACTTTCCAAAGGCACCGGAGCCACGGGCGTGGACAACACGTTCGGGAATGCGCTCGTGGTCGAAGCGGTGGATCTGAAATTGTCAGGCCATGGTATTGTGTTGCGAAGAATAGCGTGCTTACCTTCTCACGAGCGGCGTGGTCCTCCAGCAGCGAGGGACCTTGCTGGTTGTCTGTCGCCACCGACAACCAGTCATCAGTGTTGCTCTGCTTAACACCAGCATCGGTGGTGATGCGCCACTTGTCGTCGTGAACGTCTTTGGTAACAGCTGCAAGCTGAGCCATCTTGCCAGTCTTCTCACCAACAAGGCCCTTTGCCTTTTCCGCAGCGTTGCCTAGCATTTCGGACGCCATGTTGTCGATTATGTGTAAAGATTAAGACGATTGGCGATGTCAATCGATGTGGAGGGCATTCGCTGTGCGCGGCGCTCTCGTCTTTGTATCGTAACCGCGGGCGAGAATCTGTTTACTTTTCGACGTCATAACGACGTGTGCTCGCTGCAGTTCGGCTTTGAGTTGCCTAATGCCTCTACCACACAGCTCCATCAGGACTCTGGCTGCGTGTTTGCGACGCGCTTGGAAGTGGAGTTCGTGCAAGACAGCCAATGGCAAAGCAGATGATGTTCGATCATCGTGATTTGTACGTCTGCATCGACTGCCGAGCGCCGCCGATATGCCACGCGAGACTCGACTTTGCCATGTACCCGGCAGCTGGCCCGAGCAATTCGAGAATGCCATGCTGAGAAATGGATAGCCTCTCCTTGAACCTTGTCTTAAAACATCGCTGCTAAGCCCGTTCCCGGCGAATCAAGAACAGGTCGTAAGCAAATGCTCAAGTGCCGCTGCTCGGAAATATCATGCTGTGACGTCAGAGATGGAAAACCGTTGCAAAGTCCACGTGTGGACGCCCCGCACTGTCCCCACCAGAAGTGATCACCAGCACGTCCAGGGCAAAGACGACATCTCCGGAGGCGAAGGTAGTCGTATGTGAGAGGGTTGCACAAGATATCCAGGGCGAAGGGGGCTGCTTTTCAGGCTTTGTTGAGCTAACCAACCGCGTGAATTTTAGCGTTCGTTTTCGCTCTTGCTCTTTGAGCCCAAGCCCTATCGCATGTGTTCCGATGAACTCTACTGGACCTAGGTACCTACTCCCATTGATGCTGAAACGCCACGATAACCGTTTCCTCAAGTACGAGACCCAGACGCCAACCGTCACACACCTTTCCCCTACATGGCCGCAAACGCCGAACTACATAGCGTCTACTTCAATAGTACGCCACCCACAACCTCCGGAACTTTTCCTGAACCAAGTTTCACATGACAGTCTCATTGTTTCATGCAATTGAGGTAAGCCGCTCTACGCTAATGTCGGGGTTACTTTTTCGCACAACAGACCAGCGGTTTGCGGAGCGTCGATAGCGTGCTTCGCAATACGGCCAGCTAGCCCACGTCAGTACAGTGTGGACGCGATTGGCCTATCTCAGAGTGACGACGAGTTCACGCTGATCTGGAATATCTGCCGGTGGTGTTTCGCAGATTTGTAGAGGACAGTTTCGGCGTAGCTAGTATCCGTCAAGTGCCGTGGCGGTCCGGATCATCCTTCTGCCAATGGATCGTCTGTACATATTGCATCTGGTTGGCATTGCCTGCTCCTTCACCTTGACCGTGATACCTTGGCTGATGATCGACAGGCGTTGCGCTTGTTATCTGTACCTTGCAGCTATATCTAAACTCTCCGCAGTCCGTGGCTTCCGCAAAGGTCGAGATTGTCAAACGGCGGAAAAAGTGTTTTGAGGGCGTTTTGGCACTGAACGTCGTGTGCACTAGTAGCTTTAGCTTGATCATCGCACTCATGACTCCGAACAGTCAAATCATTTATCATGGCATCAATGCGCTAGCTGGAGACGCGAAGATTTTCAATACAAGTCTGGTGCTGTTGGCATCGCCGTTGCGCGAGCATATGTGCACAACCTCCGTTGGGCGCCGTTCAGGGCATCGATCATCCGCTGCCAGCCCCTGAAGCTTTAGCTTTATTGTTTTTGCTTGTACAAGCCTTCCAAAGTGCGGATGCGAATGCGTAGCATTTGTGCGGCATCCGTACGGCCCTGCAAGGCTGCAATGAGCTTTCGTGCTTGGTTTCCGGTAAATACCGCTATCCATTGATGCGCCTCTTGCGGAGCAGCAGGCTAGCCGCATCTGCAACTGTATTGTTCTCACGCCATGTCGCCATGCAAGCGCACTGTGTAGACGCGCCTGACCCAGCTGGTTCCATGTCTCGGACGCAGATCTTCTTGTAGAAAAGTCGACAAGGAATAGCCTCAACAACATGCAAGATAAATACAGATGTTCATTGACAAGGAACAAGTAGCCGCGAAGGTGCGGAATGTAGACGAGACACCGTGTCCGTCGAGAGGCGGGGCAGCCCCGGTTCTAATTGTAGCTGTTGATCAGGCGTACACCGAGGTTGACGCATAGTCGCTGGTGCTAGTCATAATGACTGCTCTCCTTCAAGCGTAGTGGGGCATGCTGTGCCTCTTAGCAACTGACAACCTCAAAGGAATGCTAGCGAGACCAGCAGCCAACGGTTCTTTGGTGGTCATCGGAAGGATATAAGGATAGGGCCGCTGTCACAAGCGCACTGTGGTATAGCGCGGCCTGACCTAGTGCCTTCGCGTGTGGTAAGCGCAACCGAGATTCGGATCCTGGAGATTACCGCCGGGCTGACCTTGACAGTATCCGAGCCACAAGTGATGCTGCCAGAGTCTTGCGTGAATCTGTGGGCACGCAAATCAATGTTGCAGTGGTTCTTGATCAGTACACTACATTGTGCAGCACAGTGCAGTACAGATCTGACGACCATGTTGATCATTGATCAGCAGCATTGCGTTGTCCACTGCCGAGCAATAGCCGAATCAGTCACATGAGGCTACTGTGATGCGCGTGGAGATGGGTGACAAGCCTCACGCAAAAGGGAAGACGAGTCACATCTTAATCTTACAGGCGCGGACCCCCGCGCCTCAAACGTGGATCAATATGCCGAAACACAGCCCTGCTCAAGCGGGTGATAGCTCGTAGTAGAGAGAAACAGACTTTGGAGGGCTGTTGCAGGTATAAGACACATGTTGCTTCTGCGCGCCAACACTGCAGGCGCGCGGACTTGATTCCTGCGTCTCGCAAAACGAAACAGTCCGCGTTGCTTTTTGATCACCGACGGCGCATCTGCACTGTGGAGCTCCAGGTCGCACAGGTCGATCAGGTAAGAGCGGGCCGTGACGCTAGAGCGAGTCGGGAAAGGCGGATAAAATTACCCCTGCCGCCGTTGAAGACTGGTTGTGGAACACAGTCTGACAGGCTACACAGCATGCGTCGAGTAGCGCTTGTTTCTCGATCGCGGACCGTAAAAGGACGTGTTCAGTCGTGTATGATGCTTCTGCGCTCCAGGTGACTTTTTGTACTGTCCTCGGAGTGTGGAAACTGTCGGTATTCACACATCGGCAATCCGGCTTGACTCTCAACCTTCTGAACCGACGCTGACGTGGTAGCTCATTTGGTGGGCTCCGAGTCGGTTGGGTGTTTGCAATCCGCGGTTTGTTTGGTTCCAGGGTTCGAAATTGGGTTGACGACTGGAGGGAGGAAGCTTCCAGCCTGTCTCGAATCATGGGCGGAGGTCGCAATTACAACGCTAAAGCTTGCGTCCAAATTTGGCCCACAGGGCTACCAGACTCGATAGCTACATTAGTCGGCTTTGCGTCGACGCTTCACTTGACCTCGCCCCGAGGTAGCTGTCATTGAGTTGCGTTGACGTTATGCAAGGACGGCCCTTATTGTTGCTTCCAATGTTCCACCCGTGCTGTCCACCGCACTGGAATCGACAGCGCATGACAAGTAGGGGCATTGGTGTTTTTATTTCTGTCGATTGAATTCACAAGGGTGCCATGTGCCAATGGTGTGCGGTCGCGATAGGAACAAGGGTGTGATTATCTCGTCGGTCGTCCGGACAGGGTACGCGTGGTGATTATCGACCACAATGCTTGAGTCGAGGCTTGAGTCAGGCAGGAAGTGCAAACAGAGTCGCAACTCTGGTCGCCAACAGAAGATGAGTTGGAGATGCCGTTAGCCGTCTGGCATGATGTTGCAGCTCGCCATGTAACAGACGGAGGGTTGCAGTAGTGGAGGTCAACGTCTATCAACAGCAGGTGTGGTACGGTACGAGTAAGACGCAGACACAGACGGTGGAATCAGCCCTGTGGTCTGATGCGTCGGGCGCTCTTCCGGCGCCCCTCAGGTAGATCTATTTTGTTTGTGCAGTTGATTTGAAATGGGCAAGAGCTGGAGCTGGCGCAGCGGGTGTTTCCTGGGCCTCGCAAACTGCCGGGCAGCCTCCGCAGTGGGCAGACCCTGGGCAGGTGAAGGAGGAGAGAAACGGTCGTCGGGTGTCCAGGCACGGCGATTGGGCCATTCACGGCGTGTTGGTCACAGCACTGGCGCTGGCCAGGAGGCGGGATCACCCTGGCTGATGCGATGCTGGCTTGCTGGCTGCAGCTAGGCGTCGAGGCTAGTAGCTCCGCGTATGTATGTGCTTGCCTTTCCGCACGGAGCCAACGGCTGTACAAGACTGTCGCGTCCTGTTGCAAACGGGAGCGAAGGTAATCTAACAGCTTTGGAGCGTACCGTCAGGCTGGCTCGCTGCAATGTCGAAGTTATAAAACTCTCCACGCTGCCCGCTGTATCCCTTTTGGACGCTCCGACCAATTCCTCACACTCCACCTCTCCACCAAGTACAAGCTCACACTTGCTGCTGCTGCTGCCCTTGCCGTCTCCTCGTCGACCATCAGTCCGGCACCCTCCCACCACCAACAAGGAAGAAGCTTTGCTCCCGCCGCCGGCCGCCCATCTCTATCTTCTCACCGTCCTTGTTTATTCCTGACTTGACTTGTTTTTGCTCGTGCTCCTCCACCACACCCTCTTGCTCCTCCTTCCCCGCGAGCACGTTGAGCTGCGCTCCGCACGGCAGTCTCGCCCTCACCTGCAAGAAGAAAGAGCTCCCCGTCCAGCAGCCAATCAGCGCGTCACATCTGCCACCCCGCCTTCCTCGTCTCCCACGCCGTTGCAGAAGGCGATACCCCCGCCGTGCGACCCTAAACCGCGCGTTGCCCACTGCCCGTTCGCCCACCCTCGCCAAACATGTGCACCAAGGTCGTACACAAATATGGCTGCGGCCACGAAATCGCCGAGAAGGCCCCATGCGCGACGTCGAGAACAGCTCCCTGCGGCGTCTGCAACACCAAGACCGTCAAGCACGACGAGAAGTGTGATAGATGCGACCATTGAGACAGGTGCGCCCGACATTCCCCAAACCCTACGCGTCACACGTGTCTAACACCCCGCCTCTGCAGTGTACCACCGTGAACTTCTTCGCACGATACCCCATCATCATGGCCAGTCTGCCGCACTGAGCCGCTCCTTCCTCGCAGCTCCCCATTGCGCGACTTATGGCCGGCCCTGATACACCACCAGCTCCCCATTGAGCCTCTGGCCCCAAGCCTGCATTTCATGGCGTCACGGATTTCAAAAAGTATTGGCCTTCTTGGGCATTGCGTCTTAATTGGACCTTGGGCACTGCACGCCCGGCGTTTTGGATACAGGCCCGCGTTGCGAGACGTTTTCTTACTTACTACATGGATACCACGTTCTCCTAATCATGTCGCGCAATGCGCCGACGGCGAACCACATGCCTTCTCTCTTCTTATCTTGTCATTGCTATCACTATATTTCTGTCTGCCGTCTCTAGCGCTTCGCAACGTTGGCATGAGGGACAATGTCCAGTATACGAGCGAGTCAATCAATCTCTACGCACCCGAGACGGACATGTCGTCCCCTCTCGGATCACCATAATTCATCTGTTGAGCTCATTGTTGTATTGCGCGACCTCCGCGCCGAACAAGACCATTCCCATGGCCAATCAATCTGCGCTGATCTGCGGTACAGTATCACGCATGAGGACCCATATGCAATGCCGTTTTTCGCCAATCGCCCTGGGCTTACGGCCTCTGCGATGCCATCAATCACAATTCACGTAGCTCTCGAACCACCTCTGCGAGTCAGGCCAATCAAGCGAGCCGCCAATCCGCCATGTATATTGGGGCCTGACTCCCTTGTATATCAGCCTTGCACTAACAACCAGGTAAACGAGAGTACATGGTCAAGGCACCGCCCGTTCACGCCTCGTGATAGGACGCCATCAGTCAAGCTCCAGTCTTGTCATGCAGTACATGCTAGCATGTGCACCGGGCCTAATACTCAACCTGGGAACAGGGGCGTTGTCGTATAACGCTCGAGGAGATATGGCCGTCTTACTACACCTCCGATTACGCTGAGGGACGGGCCGTGGCATGTTCAACGCCTTGTAAGCTTAGATGCGTTCGTCTAACCACGCCCAACTCAGCCACCATGGCAATAACCAAATCTCTTTCATACACTGATACCGAGTACATGCAGCGCTTTCATAAAGCCAACAGCAAATCCGCGGCCTGCGCCAATATGTACCCCGATCGCCAAATAACCGAGACTGTTATGAATGGGCACCTGATATGCGTCAAGCTCCGCACTGATCATCTGCAGCCAACCGGGTAACGCGTCTTCTAGAAGGTATTCAGCCTGACTGCCTTGACGGTTCAACCGAAAACTGAGCCACATAGACGCGGTAGTAGTGCCAGCGCCCTCGGTCATGTGTGTGATTGTGCATCGACCCTCCCTGGCTCTTTCAAGTTTTCTTGCCACATTGTTAAGAGCTAGTGCGACCGAGCTTAGATGGTAGTCTTTGAAAACATGGTGTGCTGTAGTTGATATCTTCATGGTCATTTGTTACCCCAGGCAGAGGCAAGACGCCTACCGGTGCGGACCCCTGCAACTACCGCACCATCCCTTGCTCTTGTTTCCTCGAAACATCACATGGGCGATCTGCGGCACAGAGGCGCTTGTAATAGCACGTGCAGAAACGCAGTGCGGCTCCTTTCGCGCCATCAATTAGACGACCTGCTTTCGAGTTAAGTCATACCTGTACTAACTTGGTACACCACCGCGAGCGGGTCTCACTACCCATCGTTGAGTCTAGTCGGCACGGGGCTACACGGAAGGCAGGGTTCTAATGCAGACGTGAATAGCTCATCACATTTGGATGTTTCGTGAAGAAATGAGATGCGCAAGCGATGACTTCGTGGTCAGGATGATAACTGGTTCGCGGCTCGGCGTCATCGTTTGTGCGCTCGGCCCGCGGTGGTCGCTTCCTCATTCGGTGTTGGTAGCCGCGACTTTCTTTCGTCAGCCCCAACCATCAATCTCCAGCCATGTCGATTGACATCAACTGGGACACCATCACGGGCGGTGCAGAAGGCTCCGCGCGTGCAGAGAAGATACGCGCCTTCATCCACGACCGGTTCCAGCAGGTGACGCTGCCACGATTCATTCGCTCAGTTCACGTGCATTCCTTCGACTTCGGCAGCGTACCCCCGGAGATTGAGATTAAAGACATATGCGACCCACTACCGGACTTTTACGAAGATGATGAAGACTATCCAGACGAACAAGGGGACGACCTGGGGGAAGACGACACCGAGCATGACGCCAAGTCACGCGATTCTAGCAACCCACCTAGTCATTCACCAAGGAATAGCCATTCCAGGGAACGAGGTCGAGAAGCAGACTTGGAGGAAAACACTCCCAATCAGAATAGATTACGCCCCTTTCAACCTCTTGCTAGACCATCCACCAAGCGCTCGTCATTAGCTCCCCACGAGCTAGGCAGCCCATTCTTTCATGGAGCTCTCACTCCAGGTATCCCTGGTGGCACCTCCAACATGAACTACTTCCATCTGCCTCTAAGTGCAGGCCTCTCTGGTGCTACGACGCCTCTGGCTGCCGTAGCTGGCGCCCAGTTGCATAATTGGCTCGACGACCGTCACGGCCGGCCGAGTACGCCAACAAATATGCGTCTGCGGAACGCCGCGTCCATGAACTCGCTAACCCTCACGCCACAATCCCATCCAGATCCCAGCTCAAGACCCTCTTCCAGACACCAACAGGACGATGGGAAGAAACAGTCCTTTGCCGGATCAGATGACAGTCACTCTCAGCACAGCTTTGGGCGGACACCATCCGCATCTCCTCACCGTATGCGTGAGAAGAGCCCTGATGATATACAGGTTGTGACCCATGTGCAGTACTCTGGCGACATCAAGATGTCTCTGACTGCGGAGATCCTTTTGGACTACCCCATGCCAAGCTTCGTCGGCATTCCTCTCAAATTGAACATCACCGGACTCACCTTCGATGGTGTTGCGATCTTGGCATATATCAAGAAGAGAGCACACTTTTGCTTCCTGTCACCGGAAGATGCAGATGCTCTGGTCGGCGGAGAGAATGGTTTCAACGGTCTTCAGACAGACGCACAAGGTCAAAACCCACGTCCTGTGCAACGACCTAAGATCGGAGGGCTGTTGGAGCACATCAAAGTCGAAAGCGAAATAGGCGGCCAAGGCAGTGGTAAACAGGTCCTCAAGAACGTTGGGAAGGTGGAGTCATTCGTACTGGAGCAAGTCAGGCGCATCTTTGAAGACGAGTTTGTCTACCCAAGCTTCTGGACATTCCTGGTCTAGAGCTGCGAAGGCAGCATCCTGCAAGAAGTGAGTGGATGTGTAACCACATGTGCTATATGCATGAGCGGCCAAGAGGCTCAATAACGAAACCACAATGTGACATTGCGCGTCGGCATTCTTCACCGCGGACAAAGGATGGAACTCATTTGAGCACGACATACATGACCTATACACTGTTGATTATATTACACAGCATGCACATATCCGCTTTTGGGGTCATACGAACGCGTTTATTCCCACTTGAGTGACAGGGCTGGAGTCTCACAGCAGCGACCTACCCTTATAGCAAGCTTTTCCGCCGTAGTTGATGCAAGAGTCATACAGCAGACGGTCCGGGAACGTGGGCTGCCGTTGTGTTACATGCGGGTGCCAGCAGAAGCGATGAAGGACGGCATTTTGACAGCTACGTTACTGACAGCGGGAGTGACGGAATCAGACCACGTTGGTAGCGCCCAACCAGGAAAACATGACGGGTTCGATGCTCTTTTGAGTCGTCAGTGCGAGTGTTACCGGCCTGTCAAAATCAAACACCCGCTGGCATCGGCATCGGGCCCAATTCAGGCGAGTCTCGCGCCGCGGTTGTGTCCCGTCCACTAGCGCACATACGATCAAACTTGCTATCATGTGTGTTGGTCATCGATGTCGCATCCTGCCCGTCTCTCCCCGCGATTCCCGTTTCCGTCTTGATTGCGCTGGCTGGTTGCGCCTTGCCAGCATACAGTAATACATTCCGGGCAGCATTACCAATATATGGTGCTGCGAATTTGACTTCACCGGTCGCTGAAACGTCCCCCA